AGACTAATACTGCTATGGCCTGCTTTTGGTTTCTATCATACCAAACCTTGCTTAGGTATTTCATGTCACATTTTATAACAAATGCGCTGATGGCATGTAGATAGGGCCATTTTTTAGATATTTTACAGGGTGATTACTGTTGTGAGTATCTACCAACACCTACTCTTTGAGTAAATATCAGATATATTTCTATACTGAGATATAGAGTAATATCAGATGTTAATCGGAAAAGAGTTATATCAGGGGTTTGACCATTGAACTTTTTTTTATTCCATCCTGATTAAGTTGTCCTGTACATGTATTAAACTTGCCTTTCTACTAATGCATAATGCAGTTTGAACTTCCACTGCTTGGCCATATCAGTTGGACTGGCACCCTCGCGCCGAGGCGCGTTGCCGATCTAGTAGGTTGGGAATGCTTTGCTGCGCCATTTTATACTAGAAGGGTTGCCGCTGCGCCATTGGTGTTATTTGGTTTCTTAAATAAATCACTTTGTTTCAGAATATAAGGTGTATTACTTTTTTAAATAGTCAAACCTTTTAAGTTTGAACAAATTTGTAGAGAAAATATATCAAAATCTATAATATTATATCAATATGGTTAGATTAATCATGAAATGAATTTTCATTTTTTTGTTTAATATTGTGGATGTCGATATTTTTGCTCGAAAATTGGTCAAAGCTTAAGAAATTCGACTTTTGATTAAACTAATACCCCTTATAGTTTGGGACTGATGGAATATTTAGTTTGACAGGTGAGGGAGATGATGGGGCGTGTTTTATTTTTATTTATAATGTGATGATTTGGTGGGCCTTTTGTGGTTGATTATATGTTATCCACTAACCAACTTATATTTATGTGAGAAAAAATTTATGTCGGTGGTTTAATGTACTATATTTGTGCTACATTATCACATGGTTTTTCTGTATGGCGGGATGGCGCGTGGGATTGATATATTTTTATAGGTTAGTTGTTGCTAATTGATTTCAAAAATCGTTGACCCGGTCAAAATCGTAAGACAAATCCCAAATTGAATATCTCAATTGGATGAAAGGGTTTCAAAATTAGAGAACATATTGAATTAAAAGAATTGAATGAGAGCCCAGGAAATTGTTGACCCAGTCAAAATTGGGTGACCCGGTCCTAAATTGAATACCTCAATTAATGGTGATACCTTAAAAAGTAGGAAGCACAGTGTATAGTATAAAAGAATTCAATGAAAAAGTTTTGAGAAATTGTTGATTCCATCAAAAAAATTGGCCCAATTCTAGTTGGAGACCTGAATTGATTGTCGACGCTTTAAAACTAGGAAGCATAGTGTATATATATAAAGGATATCTGTAGTCGGTACCTCGAGTTTAAACTTATCCAATTAGCATAAGTCTCGAGAAAGCTAGGACATACTTCCTCTGTCCCGCAAAATAAGACGCTATTGCATCTAATATGTGAACAAGACGTTATTACATTCAATATGCTCACATTGGATGTAATACCGTATTATATTATGAGATAGCGGGAGTATATAATATGCATCATGGTATGGACCACAAGTCTTTCAACGGATCAGGAAGTATAGGGGCACGCAACAAGCTACATATGTTGAAAGAGTATTTGATCCCTACCTGGACCTAATTTTTTGCAAGTTATTATCATTACAATCATCTGTCATTATTCTCATCGTGTTTCCAAATGCTTTTTACTATGACGACTGTGTCCGAGTTTGCAGGAAATCCAAAGCGACCCATAAAGTGGGACATGTTGTTTTAAGTTTGATGTGTGAAAATTATAGGATGGATGAATATTGTGTTGTTTCTATTGTATTGATCCGACCCTTGTGTAGGGTATATATAGGAGTACAAGAGGGGTAGAGACTTGGAGTACAAGACAAGTTACATGTGGTTTAAACTAATTCTATCTCTATCTCTTTATCTCTAACTTAAACCCAATTATATTTCTAATGTTCCTCCTCAGTCACAGTGGGAGTGAAGCGGACGAGTATGACTGAATTTGAAGTCTTGCGCTTTTGTCGTCTTCTCCATTGCGCCATCATCAACTGCGTCTCTGATGGGTTGGCACCTAGGGCGGTGACTGCGTCCCCTTCTGGTGCCTTCATGTCTTCTCCTCTATTCCCTCCCGCAGTCACAGCGGGAGTGGCGTGGACGCTAGTGACGACGCGGACGCTGTTGACTGAAGTTGTTGCCGATGAGTTGCTGTAGACGTAGCCGTGTGGTCGATGTCGAGGTAGCCGGTCAGGGTGATGTAGCCGTGGTCGATGGTGTGGTCGTCGTGGATGATGAAATCGCACAAAGCCGGAGGCGCAAAAAAATGCGCTATGACGGGGCTGCAGACGTGGACGACACATCTTGCGGATGTCAGAGGGTGTCGTCGGCGATGAGTCCGCCGGTTTTGCCAAGACCGGAGGAAGCCCATCGAGCACACATCGGTTTTGCCAGAACCGTGTGGCCGTGTAGGGTCGTCACTGTAGTGACGCCGTGTCGATGCAGTCGTGTTGTCGTGGATGACGCGGTCGATGCCGTCGTCGTGACGCAATCATTGCCGTCGTCATGGTCGCGTCTTGCAGAAAACATCTGTCAGAGAACGCTAGTTGTCCATCTTGTGGACGAGGCGATGGCGGTGTGTCGACGATGATGTTGGTGAAGACCATGTTGATGAAGACCTTGGCGGTGAAGTGTCAGCGATGCAGCGACATGTCGACGATGATGCGTCGCTTGGAGGCGTCCCTCGTGGCGACGGGGTGTCGATGTCGTGTCGTGCTGAAGAAGTATGTAGGGTCGTAGCCTGGCATATTCGTACAACTCGATGAAGAGATTCGGCTCGATGAATATCTGGTGCAGATGGCGTCGATTTAGCATGCTCGGTGCGCCCGAGGTCGATGATGGTGTAGTTTGTTGGTTCGAAGCAGATCGCTCTGTGTGATCTTGGTGCACATCGGCTGGTGACGCTGTGACCACGTGCGTTCAAGGACTCACGGTGGATGGAGATCACGGTGTCGAAGTCGTATGCTGCGTTCTGGGCGGGACAGCCGTCGTCGTAGGAGTCGTTGTAGGCACCGCCGACCGGGAGATCCGCGTAGAGGATGGATGACTGCCCGGGATTAACGCCCTCCGCCGATCGGACGTGCGTATCCTGCTTCTGTTCTTCTGGTGCTCGCTGCGTCCCCTGGTGGAGACCAGCTTGAATCCTCAAGGCGACAATAGGATGTTGTTGAAGACCCACGCTGCAGCCGGGTGTCGCCCGATCAAAGCCGCCCGGAGTTGCGCCCGTGCCCAAGATGCCGCGTTGGCGGCACCGCAGGACGACGCTCCGAGCCGATCGGTGTGGAGTTCACTCTCCATGTTGATGCACCTGTACGCGTGCGGCTGTGGGCGCATGCCAGCGCCTCGACGGAGCCGCTGCCCTGTGTGCCAGCTCGTTCGGCCGGCCGGGGCTGCTCCGTCCAGCGTCCACGTGGGACGCGTTGCGTAAGGTCGGTGTCGCACGTTTGCTGCCGCCGGAGACGTCGGATTCTGTGCGAGTCATTGGAGTTCTAGATGCCGATATCTGCACTGATTTTCACCGGATTTTGAGGGTTGAGAGATTTATTGATGGCTAAAAGAAACTAATCTACTCGAATTTTGGAATTTGAAATTGATCTAATCTAAGAAATTGATCTAATCTACAGAATCGATTGAAACTTTGATTGATCGAGTGCCGCGCCCCCGGGAGAGGAGATTAATCTCCCCGGGGGTGGCGCGCTGCGGAAGTGGTGTAAAGTCCTAGGATCGGCGTCGCGAGACTAACCGCTCTAATACCATGTGAAAATTATAGGATGGATGAATATTGTGTTGTTTCTATTGTATTGATCCGACCCTTGTGTAGGGTATATATAGGAGTACAAGAAGGGTAGAGACTTGAAGTACAAGACAAGTTACATGTGGTTTAAACTAATTCTATCTCTATCTCTTTATCTCTAACTTAAACCCAATTATATTTCTAACATGATGTACTCATGAAATGGGAAAGAACTAGATCAACCAATTTGCAAGATGAGTATTCATTGTTCCAGAATTTTACATTCTTCCACGTGAAAACTCCAAGATGATGACTTATAATACTCATATACGATGGTTGCGAGCGAAGGAAAAGATTTTTGATGCACTTTCTCAACAACATCGACAATGAAGCTGTAGACAACATCATTAGTTTTTTTACTCTATGCAGATGATGATGCATTGTAATACTCCTTGATTTGTACTCCCTTTGTCCCATAATATAAGATATTTTTGCAAGCTAAACTAACTTGAAAAACATCTTATATTACAGTTATATTACAGGACGGAGGGAGTAATATTTTTGTATCCTATGCTTACAAGTAGAAAAATATGAAAATGAGGAGAATTAGAGCAAGTGGGTGAGCGTGAGCAGCGAGAGTTTTTTCGTTCCATGCTAGTAATCAGACTATAGAAACAGCGGTCGCACTAGGGCTTTATATGTTTGATGTCAGATTTATAAGATTTCCCCAAAGAAAGGCTTAACAGAGACAATAAGCTTAAATTCCAGAAACCGGAAAAGATAGTGAACATAGTTTAACAATTATCATGTTGCGGAAATATTTTCTGGCTCATGTCAACCGTATCACAGTAAAGAATGAAACCAGGACACAAAACCAGCACACAGTTAAGTGCAAGGACATTATTTATTTTGCACAGCTTAACACAAAACCAGCACACAGTTAAGTGCAAGGACATTATTTACTTTGCACAGCTTAACACAGGTAATAAGCTCAAACTCCAGAAATCGGAAGACATAGGGATAACCGTTTCTCATTGCGTCCCTCCCCCAAGAGATTGTGTTAGAAGATAAACTTTAAGGCAGTTTATGGATGAAATGATACTCGAAAAAAGTGGCCCGAAGTCCAACAGCATATGTACATCATTCAGTACAATGATAATAGTGGAATTGCTTATCATATAACAACATAGATGCACCATATTATCACTTCAAACTGACATTAGTGATGCTGAAACATCTTGTAAGGGTAACAACGCTTCTGACAGGCTCATGGCTCCGTCAACTGTAGCCTGCTGCGTAACGACAATTGTATGAGCCAAATTAAGTACGAGTCCTCGGACATTGCCACGTATAGTGATGTACCCGCTGAGCTTACAGTTGGCTTGCTTCTCCACACTGATGTTCACCAAAGCATCCTCGCCAAACACACTCTTGGCATAGAGATTGACAGCAACTAACCCACAGTCCCCATCAAACGCAGACCTGATGTCAAAGTTGCATATGAAGTAGAAAAGTTACCATATATATTTTTTCAAAACGGAGGCAAAAGGATTGCCTCATCAATTAATTAAGAAGAGAATTGCCGAGTCAATTTATGGAAAGCCGGGCAAAAACCGATACAAACAAAATTAGTCAACACAAAACACCACGACCACATAGACGGCCCACCAAATGCTCCCGATACACAACAACCACAACCCTCAACACACTTCTACAATGCAACGGAACCCCCGGGGAAAAAACCGACAACTACTGACTCACAAGAAAGCCACGTCGACAACACGAGAAACTAAGAACCTCCAGCTGCTCACTTGACAGAGGTGAATCTTGTCCCTCACTCGGGGTCGCCGGCGTGCCCACCTTCATACAGACTCGTGATCTGCAGCACCGAAGCCATGAGCATGGCGATGGACTCGCCCTCAATGGAAGACAACATAGGAGAGAAGGTAGGCATCGGCGATGAAGCCATATAACTCCAACCCCTATCCTCGACGGAGCAAACTCGGTCGTACAAGAAGAATGGACGTCAGAGAGGTCTGCAACATAGCCGGCACAAGCGAGAGCCTACTCAGAGCAGCCTCCGCTCGCTCCAAAAAGCTCCCAACACGAGCCGGACAGCCTTGTAGCAACGCAGTCTGGTCAGCCAAAGGGGCTGCAACATCAGCACGGACGTGGTTGTCGAGCCAACGGTAGCAGAGACGAATGACGCACAAGACCATGGCGAAGCACCTTTGGAGGGGAGTGCGGATCTCATCGGACCCTCACATGAAGTAGGAGCAAGACGATGCACAATGCCGAGGCAGGACAAGGGCGGCACATGGGCTGCGGCATCCACGCGCACAGTGACCATTCTCCAAACAACAGGAGCACCACAGCGGATCTTTGCAATCAGCCGCACGATGCCCATGAGCGAGGTGCAACATCTACCATGGAGCCAAGCGGGGATGGGACGACAAGCCACGTTAGCACCTCCTACCAACCCTCACTTGTGTCCGCGTCATGCCCCACGCACATCCCTCCGGAGTCAAGGGCCTTTGTGGCAGCCGACGGTGTCTAGGGAGCCAACTCCTCTTCGTCACCGTCGTCAGCAGCAGAGGCCCACAACACCGCTCGTGGTGGTAGCGTCACAGCCAGTTCCTCTTCACAGCCCACGTCGTCCCCATTGGCTGAGGCAACAGGGGCCAGCAACAACACACCCAAGGCGGCTCCGGCAAACAGGATAGGGGCGGCTGGAGTCGGGTGACAAGCAGTTGTCTACACAGGCCCGAAACAGAGCGTGCACGCGGCCTCACACCCCCATCCTCCCTCCTGAACCCGCAAGCTGGGGGCAGCGTCCGCGGTTGACGGAAACGTCAGCAGCCAGGATTGTGCTTGCAGCCTGAGCGCACGACGCAGACGGCGGAAGGATGACATGTGCAGCAGCGGGAGACGCCACTGGAATGGTGGCCGCCGCGGAGGATCGGACGAGCAGCATTGCCGGGCGAACCAGGAGAAAGGGCGCCATCAAGACTGGTGTGGGAGAGGGCTCCGCGGGGTACCCAGATCCAGTCACGGCGGCCGCAACGGAGGACGGAGATCCGAGCGTCGCGGACGCAAGAGCGTCATCCCTTGACGCTGAGCCGAGCCTTGGAGAAGAGAGAGGTCAAGCACGGGACTCCGGATCTAGCCTGGGCAACTGCAGAGCTAGCCGAAGAAGGGAGATCGAGGCGCCGCCGCCAAGGGCGCTCACCCGACACGGGTGCTGCCGCGGGAGCCCATCAGCGGCTCTCCATGTAAAAGTAAAGTTACCACATATGATGTACAAAGGCCACCGACCTTAGCGATCTGACAGGCAGCGGCATGCAACTATGTTTTTGGCATGCTCTCCACATCAGGAATTCTCTTTCCAACTATCAAGTCCCACACTTACAGATTAGCTCTGTACTACGTTTTTTTAACCGGGCTAAACCCCTTTCCATTATTAAAACATAACGGAAATACAGCCGATCCAAAAGTTCAGGAGACTGCTCTGTTCTTCGTTGCAACAGCTTTTCAATGATCCAACTAATTACCTCGGGAAAAGCATTCTCAGAGTGCAAATGTACTTCTACATGAAAATATGGTTATTTGGAGAGTTCTACATGAAAATATGGTTATTTGGAGTATATTGGTTCCTGCAAAGGAAAGTAAAATTTCCATTTGGACATCTAGTGTTCGCTACTTTGCTTTGGTGAAAATAACTGAAGCATATTTCTTGTAGTTTGTGTGATCAGATACTCAGTTATTAATTACATCAGAATCTTACACTCAAAACCTATGAAACAAACATTCGTACCATAATGCCGGAATGGGCAATGCAAACAAAAAACAGTTACTCTAGTATATATGGAATACAAAAACAGTAAAGTGATAGAGTAATTCATGGTTGTGTTACTATAAAACATATATCATGCTCTTGTGTGTGGCTATACTTTGATGGAATGCATAGCATTCATAGAGATACTGTATTATTAATGTATCAAAGCATGTCACATGCAGATTAATGTGAAAGGTAAGTTTCTTTGAACTTACAGTGGTGTTAGACATGTCATGTTTGTGGACTTGATTATGAAATTCACAAATTCATTCTCATCATGAAGCACCGTGTTGACCTTCAACTGACAAAAAAGAACAGTAAAAGTAGTATAAGACAAACACATATGAATTACACTAGAAAGGAGCATAAAAATGATACTCCCTTCAATCCATATTAATTGAATGCAATGAAGTAAAACAAGGCATCTGAAGTCAAGAGAATATAAGTATCTCTTGTACCTTAATTTTGCACCAACACTCAGCCCACATTTTCCGGAAACCTACATCACTACATGTAGCAGCTGTCATGTAATCTGCGATGTTAATGATCATATCTTTTAGGATCACCTCTGAAAGCTCCATTGCATCTGAAGTCTCATAAACAATGCGACCAACTATAATTCCAACGTTCGTTGAGGACATCTTAATGTTAGCCTGGATTTGCTCGCATGCCTCAGGAGCCACAGTGTACTTCTTAGTGCGCTCAACTATCGCAGTTTTACTCGCTGTTGCAAACTCCACGCACAAATTGTGCAGTGTTTCTTCAGTTCGGTTTATGACTGTAACATCAAGCACAGTATCATAATATCGATTTAAGGTAACTAATCCTTCAGCATACACAGGATCACTGAACCCTGTCAACTGAACAAGGCGTTTCAGTTTATTTGCATCATATGTGCCCTTCATAACTTCACCAGTTGCAGCCATTAAATCACCTCGGACCTCATCTTCCAACTCAAGTTGGTCCAGTTCCTACGGAAAAAAATGCAAAGAAATTAATGGTAGTATAGAGAATCACACACAGTAAGTTAACACACCCTCGAAAAGACGATCGAGGACTATGGCTTTGTTATCAGCTATAGAGTATAGAGAATTCCAGAACATTAATTTAACACGCCCTCAAAAAAGATGTGGACTATGGCTTCGTTATCAGCTATTGTTATACAGTGACAGAAGTAACACTGCTTTGTTATCCCTCTGATATAATACAGTACTATAAGTATTCAACATATAGCTCCAGGCACCATTAGTGGTTGAAGGATGTACTATTTGTGAAGGAGCAATTAATTTTCCTAATATAAGTGATTGTATACTAAGATGAAGAATCACTGAACGATACAAAGTACGCCTAGTAGGAAATTGTTCATTATCCCGAATGGAGAAATTAATTTGGGGTGAAAATGGAATGTCAGGAAAAATGCACCAATGTATTGATTACTGAACGTATCAAGGCAAATGTTTCTTTTCTAGATATGCATGCATCATTCCATGATTTAACTGGAACTTAATGAAGTAGTAAGAGAAATCAATCAGAACTCCTAAGTAATTTCTCTCTCACCCTCCTGCTCCTCAGGTGGTAGAAATCAATGGAATCATCAGGATGTGCATAGGCATTATGTGCCTTGACCTTCATCTTCTCATTCTTCATGAACTGCTTCTCAGCAATGACCATCTTTGTGAAGCTCTGGCGGCATGACAGCAACCAGACCTTCCTTGCATGATCATCAGTGCTACAAAGCAACCTAATACAAAACACAATCCTGTCATATGAATCGCTGTCAATAGGGTGGGGAAGGTAAGAGCACTTCCCCAGCTGCAGTATAGACACCATGATCAGCAAGGACTCCGCCGATGCATTGTTTGTTACCACCTTAGATGGCTGAACCTCCTCCAGCCTCAACACAAGCTTGGCCAACGTACATGCAACAACAGCAGCCAAGTGAAAATCACCCGACATAATGAGAAATCTGAGATTATGCCTGGAATCAAACAACCCACTAGTAAGAGCAGGATTAAAAATGGAATCATCGGTCGCAGCACTCTGTGTGGCACAAGTGTCATTTAGAAGAGCGACAAGTAGTCTTTTAGAAAATAGAGTAGATGAGTCCATGGCTGGATGGTCTGGCTTGGATGAATCAATTGACTCGCTTTCCTCGGAGACAGCATAGAAGGGCTGATCTCCAAGTGACTCCTTAATAGTAGAAATGGCTTTCTCGACCTCAAATAGCGAAAGCGAGTACTCCCCAAGGATCCAGAGAGCACACGAACAGATGAAGGAATCCTTGATCTTATATAATGTACCAATCAGCTCATGTATAATGGAGAAACGCATGAAAGGTTTGGTCTCGATGACCTCACGCATAAACAGAACAACATCAGATGCTGAAGCAACATCACCATAACCAAGGAAGCCCAAGAGGAGGTGCACCACTGGTCCAGCCACTTTTGGGTATACCACGGCACAGGCATGGATCGCCTGCAGTAGCATCTGGTAGTACTCATTGGCAAACTCCAGCAGACTGTACATTAATTCATAGACCTCCTCCTTCAGGGCAAACACCACGTCCCCCACATTTTGTGGGGTGAGCAAACCAAGCACCAAATCCAGAACTTTCTTCTTGACAACCAGATCAGGGCTAGCGAGTTCGCGCAGAATGTCCATGACAAAATTGACCATCATGTAACGGTGCGAGATGTGCAGCTCGTGCAGGCGGTCCAATATAATGAGCTTCACATTGCTGTCACGTTGTGAATTGAGCAACTGGCAGTAGGTTTTTGCAGCAGCGTTGATCAAGGTCGGTGTATGGGACACAGACAACAGCGTGCACGCGCAGTGATACGCAACAGCAGTTGAGCCAGTAGAGAGGAGGGAGCTGATGACCTCAATATACCTGCGACAGAAAAGGCGTCTGTGATGGTTCTTGTGAGGGTGGTTGACACAGACTTTGCGGAAGAAATCAAGGGCGGCCATCTGGAGGGGGTCAGGCCACTCGGTGAAGCCGACAGCATTGCTGAGCAAGTAGAAGATGGCCTGAACCTGGGAGCAGTCGCAGAGACTGAGGAACGCGTTCCTCCGTGCAGTTGGGTCCTGCTCGATGACGAGAGCACGTCCCACAATGTAAGACGCATCTGGGAGGAGCTGCTTGCCATCACGCAGGCGGTAGATCGCTGAGATGGCAGAGAACACATGTCGGCGGACGAAAGGGTGCTGGTGCTTGAGGTTGGCAAGAACGGCAGGCACAAGAGGCTCGAGCAGCTCCGGCTCGTTGAGCCGACAAAGGAACCGCAGTGTGACGCCGCGGATGTACTCATTGGGGTGTTGGAGGTTGTTGCGGAGGATGTGGGAGATGAGGATCATCTCCGGGCTGACCTTGCCGGAGGCTCCGTCCCGTTTGTCGACGACCTCGAGGTAGAGGAGGAGGAGCCTTTGGATGATGTGTTCCTCGGAGGGGACAACGTAGCGGACGACGGTGGCAAGGAGGTGCGGGATCGTGTAGCCGTTGAGGAGGAGCATGATGGCGCGCTTCAGGGCGTCGACCTTGGCGCCGACGTCGCTACCCTCGAGGTCCGCCTTGATCTTCTCGGCCGTGGAGAGGCAGCTCTTATCCAAGGGCACCAGAAAGGTGCACCGGGACTCCTCGCTCATGGTCGGCGGCCGCTGGGCCGGATCCAGATCTGATCTGCCACGACCGAGATCTGCGACGCTTGATATGACCTGTGGGGTGGATCTGGGAGGAGGGCACCTGAAGAAGGGATGCCCGCCGGTGTAGAGACTGAACGCCGAGAAGTTCGACTGGCAGTCCGCCGGAATTTTTTCCTCGTGCGGAGCTTGTACCGCCCCGAGAACTAGAGTCGCCTTTGTGTCAGTGGGACTCGGCTCCCCTGACGTACTGCAGGGCGCAGTTGGGTCACTGACAGGTGGGCCAACTTGCTTTCGGGCCCACATGTCAGTGGCCCAACTGCGCGCTGCAGTACGTCAGAGGAGCCTCATCCGTGTCACTGACATGTGGGGTCCGGTCCCACATGTCAGTGACACAAAGGGGGGCTTATGATCAAAGGCACACGAACTGGGGGGTTATCATCAAATCCCCGGACGACGATAGATGGCAATTCAGCCCTGTCGGCAGAGCCCGACTCTATTCGTCGTCCCAGTCCGAGCGCACTCCTTTTTGTTTCCTCTTTTTTTTCCCAAATGATATAACGCTCACAAGCAAAAATGCTACTTCCTCTCTCTCAGTTTACAGAGCGTGCGCGTATCCCTAGGTCGTCAATTTGACCAACCTAATACAAATCATATATTACAAAAAAATATAATAATATAAACTTCAAATGTTCTATTTTTAAAAGATATAATTTTTGTGTTATATAGTTTATATTAGGGTGGTCAAATTGGCAACCTAGATATACGCGTAGGACTTGTAAACTGAGACGGAGGGAGTACTCTTATGTAATTAGACTAAGGATAACGTTTCGAGCCGGGGCGCCGGCCGAAGATTGGGCCGGTCGCACCCGAGCCTTGCGATCCGTCTGGATCGTGCGTCGTACAGGGCCACGAGCATTACTTCTCCGAATCGTTTTTTCCCTTTTCTTGCACTTCTTTTTTCCCTTTTCTTGCACTTCTTCTTCCTCACGATGTGGGGTTAGTTGGAACCGTTCTTTTCCTTCATCTCCGCACCCCACGCACAGGCATGACGCCCCCTTGCTGTTAGGGCAAGCCACGAGGGGCAAAGAAGACGGCAAGGGCCGCAGAAGTCGCCACGGGGGGAGTTGCAAGAGTTTTGCGCACGACGATGTTAACCGTCGATGTCTCACGAGTCACGACCAGCCATGGCGTCTGATAGCTGAGATGATGCTACAACTATTCTTGAGAAAAGCTTCCACCGTTTAATTCAAAAGCTTCAACCGACAGTATACAAAGCTTCAACTGGACAACTTTGCGACCGAAGAGCTACAACCGTGTATATGAAAAGTTTCGGTTATAGTTTGAAAAAGTCCCAATCGAACCACCGCGAACTAAAAAAGCTACAATCATACTCTTATATGAAAGCGTCAACCGACGACCCTATAATGTTGTAAGCGACATACGGAGTTGATACAACCGGTGCGCGGCGATGCTGCAAACAGGTGAGCGACGGGCGCCGATGGACATGGAAAAAAAGCTTCAATAATGGAAAAAAGTTTCAAACGGCTTAAGAAAAGCTTCAACCCGCGATGAAAAAAGCTTCAGTCGGCTTCAGGAAAAGCTTCCACTCTATGTAAAAAGCTTCAACCGGCGTGGAAAAAAAGCTTCCATTGCGTGAGAAAAAGCTTCAACCGGCGTTCTGATTTTTGTGCGAACGACGATGTTGAGGACTGCGGCCGGCAGCATGGTTGTGCGGCGACGAACGTGCTACGATGACGATAGCTAGGAGCTGCAACTACAGATACGGCAGGCGTGCTAGAAGGCAGCGATGATTTGCTACAGGAGCGACCCATCCTTGCTGGAACCGCCGGCGGTTGGTGCTGCGAGGAACCGGGGAGGTTGGTGTCGTCTTCTTCGTTCAGGAACCGGGGAGGTTGGTGCTACGAGGACGACCGCCGGCGACGAGGGCGGCAAGAGGGCGAGGACGACCAGCGAGCTGGCTGGCGCATTGAAGGATCACGACATGGACGCGGGTGACAGGCCTCATGGATTTTTCTTTGTCCTGTTTTCCTGAACGAAGCAGTTACAACAACGAAGATCGTGCGGCTACAACCATCCAGATCGTACGTGCGCGATAGGACCGGCCGAAAGTTTCGGCCGGTGCACCGGCGCTTATCATCGCCCCTTAGACTAACTGCTAATCCCTCTGCCCCCCTATTCCAACTGGATGGGGTCCTTCTCCTAATTTCCTCCAACTAAAAAATGCCACCTAAGCCATTACGTTACTTTACATTTGATTGCTACGTAGGTGTAGCATTGCTACGCTCACATGTGTGGCAGTTTGCACTTCGTCCACACGCGCTAATCACCGTTGTTTTACGGTGCGTGAATCTTACAGCAATCAACCGGATTCTTCCGTGCACTTAGGCATAGTGTGGTGTGCGGGTGGTAGACCGCTCGCCCAAACGGCCTCCAGCACGACCCACACCGCGCGGTTGCCAGATTCGTGGTGCGGTGGAACTGCCGCCGGCCCGGACACACGCACGATCGCCACCTCCCCTCTTTCACGGCACATAGTTGTTTTTCTCTGCGTTGTCTTCTCCTCTCCCATTTCTTCTTCTCATTTCCCCTCTCCTCGGCCTTGTTGAGACAGAGCCTCGACGAGTGGCCGTTACGCGGCGATGCAGAGGTGATTCCCGGTCGAATCTACGATGAGACAGCGACGGAAGTCTCATGGTGGCATGTTGACGTTGCCGGAGCGCACGCAGCATCATCGCCGGAGACTGAACCATGCATAGGTATCGCAATCGAATCCCTGCATTTCGTCCCCCCCTCTCTGTTTCTGTGTGCCGAATCATGGCGAATCTTAGGCGCAACGGCGAGCTCTGTTGTTTCTCGTCGGCGGGGAGACTCCGACGCGTAGCTAGATCGGATTGCGCTCGAGTTGTAATCGTGGGGATGGTTCGCCTGTTAGTAGGGATTCATGCTCTGTTTTGGAGAGATGGCTCGATTTTTGAAATCTGAGTACATTGCTCGGTGTTTGCGTTCATCGTTTTCGGTTCCTCTTGTTTGATTTTCGTTCAATCCATAATTTTCTAGTAGGCATTCGCTCCATGTTTGCTGGAAATCAGAGGTTGAGATCATGGTTGGAACCCTAGATCTAGAGGTGGTTCCCGTACTGAGTTTGTGTAGGGTTCATGGTAGTTTGCTCTGGGTAATTATGTGCAGGGGTGATGGCAATCCTTTGGTTAGTGAAACGCGTTCAGTTGCCTTGTTGTTGTGTGCGAACACGGCAACTATGTGTTTTCAAGTTATCTGCAATTTGATGTACTGCTTACACAACACATGGCAACTTCCTCTGGCACCCAATACACCCATTTGCCATGTGTTTGCAGTGTTGTAGGGCAACTGCCTCCCGGGGTTCGTTGTTGTAGGGCAACTTTGTGCTTCTACATTAACCCGCATTTTTTGTCGTGCTGCTTACACAACACATGACAACTTATCTATTGCCCCCAACCGCCATTTTTTGCCATGCGTTTGAAGTGTTGTACAGCAAACATGGCAAATATGGCACTATAAGATTTTTATTGCCATACTACTTAGTTAGCAGATGGCAACTTGCTATTTTTAGTTCGCAAAACAATGTTTACTGCTATCCTTTTTGCAGGGCCATATGGCAACTGCCTCCTGCTTTCGTGTTTTCCATGATGTTTGTGATTGAAGCACGACAACTTTAATTCTTTGACAACCTACTAGTTGTCGGATAAGGGATGAAAAAATGTTAGTACATGGCATGTAACATTCCAAAATTTCAATTTGGAATGTTATACATTAAATCATCTTTGCATATCATATATTATTGCATTTTGGCTAGATCCTAGAAATTCTACGCAACTCAACGACCCACGGAGAGAGTTGGGGATTTTGTTATTTTCATATTTGAGTTTTCTCAAATTTTTGAAAATAGGATCATTTGATTTTAATTATTTTATCTTTAATTATTTCAATTATAAAAATAAGAGAGAGGGAATAAAATGACTTTCCCAAAATAAAGAAATATTGAGGATTTAATATTAAAATCAAATAAGATTTTATTTCAGAGTTTTATCGCTATTTTATTTGAATTAGGAAAAATGCGCGTTTTTTCAAAATTGCATTTAGGTCCCAAATAAATGTTTATCTTGTCCGTCTTGATTTTAGAGGATGGGGAAAATTTATTTCGGGATTTTTGGAGTTCATTTAGTATTTCTTTTATTTGTTTTTCTGTGCGAAACTATTTAAAAAAAGTCAACCCGACTCCGGTCGTACGCGAGCGGGACTCCGCCCGGGG